TATATATATATATATGAACAGATGAAGTGAATTCCTGCACTTTCTGTATACTAACACATCCTATTGAAAGGTACCTTCTTAATTTTTTATGAGAATGAACCTCTTTACCAATCTTGAAAAGCTTCTATTTTACTGTTGCTGTTCACTGTATATACAACCACAAATTTGTCAGAAAATTTAAGTTTGATGCGGGTAAATAAAAAATATGGTAATGATCGTAACTTTTGTGCAATAACAAATGAAAGGAACATAGCAATTTGATAAGATATTTTATGTCCCACTTTAAGAACAACAAAAAACAACGCACCTACTGTGCAACGAAAAGGTGAAACAAGAGTAATAAATTAAAGCCAAATAGAAAAAGGAAGAAAAGTCTCTTCCTGAGAGACTTATCCGACAAATAATATCACACCAAAAAAACTTTTCCAAAATGGTGAGATGCAAACCGTAAAAGACAACAGTAACAAATCCTAAAATTATGTCAATGTTTTGCCCCCTACGCGAAATTAAACCACGAAGATTTCACAACACAGATTTCACCCGGAGCCTTCAGTTTCAACAACAAGTATTCATTTGAATACTAAATATAAATACCAACCCATAACATCAGAAAAACAGAACCGAAACCGAGAAACAAAGCTGCTAGAGCAGATATTAAAATCTCCTTCAATAACATCCTTGTGTATTTTGTGGCCGTCACCTAAACGACTTTTCAAACAAAAGTTATGATCGAGCCAAACAGACATAAATCGTCGACATTAATTTTAAGTCAACGACAAGAAAATTTTATCTGAATGAATGGCTTTACTAGTCAATCAATTCCAGAAAGCAAAATCCCAATTACCCAGCAAAAAGTTTTTGCAACATTCATTACAACAGCTTAAAAAACATAGAACTCATCTACTAATTTTAAAAACCTTTGAAGTCATTAACGTTGCACGAAACTTACTTCATAAACAAAGAACCAAGCCATGAAGAAGAGGCCGGTGCCAAGAAGAAGGACGGTGAGTTGAGGATATAACGAAGGATTGACCTTAACAAAAAATATATAAATAAAAATAGATGAGTACCAATGAAAGCTGAGTGCAGTATGCCAAAAAAAATAAACCAGCAAACATTAATTTTTTCAGACCAATCTAGTAGGAAAATAACTGAATTTCATATAGACAAAATTTTTGCTTTTATCGTTAAAAGTATACAATTAAAAAACAACTACTTCAAAAACCTTACCGGCCCCACATACCGTTCCATCTTGGATATGTCCAAAACCATTGTTCACTTTTCAGAGTTCCAACACAACGACCCTGGGCAGAAAAGATCCGATAAATAACGCGAGTCAAAAAAAAAAAATGAAGCCTAAGACCAAACAGTTTGTTACACGATCTGTATGATACAAAACCACGCGCATCTGCCTAGTACAAAGCCCTCAACTAGTAAGATCTTCAAGCAAATGAAGATAAGCAACCTACTGAAGTACAACATATGAAACACTTAACACCTGCCATTTGTTTCACAGCGGAACTGCTACTATCAGCAATCACAAATTTCCAGAATTACATCGCCAAAAACGTCCTCCTTCTAAAAAAAAAAAAAACCCACTGTCCTCCCCAGACAGCATAGAACTCTTACAACACCAAAATAACAACCCAGGGAAACTTAAATGACCAAACTTAATCCGCTTTCGCTGCCCCGACATCAAAAAATAAATAAATAAATAAATAAATAAAATAAAACGCAACAGTAACTGCAGCAAGAAGATGAGCAACGGCTCGGTTGGTAACCACTTCATACAACCTTAAAAAGGAACAAAACCAAGCAAAGCCGCAAAAATAAAACACTTTATCGAGTAAGCCGACCATGCTCGAATGAAGTAAATGTAAGCAAACGGTGAGGCAATTTTGACCGTCAAAACATGTGTCGAGACTTGACAACCACCAAAAAAACTATTTACAACGTCATTTTACCAAAAAAATAGCGAATCGAATTCAACTATTTACAGAAATATCATAGTAAAAGCAAATCCAAGATTTGCTAAAACGTGTCGTTTGCAGAAAACACTTGATTAAGTAAAAGAAAAATACAGAACTGAACGAAAAAGTAACTATACCAGATTCAGAACATAACGGGTCAACAAACTAAAAATGTTGAAAAGAACACGATAAACTCGTTAACTATTATACAAGAATCATAAAAACAGAGAGTAGAAATATTTAAGCAGCTCCATTTTCCATATTGTCAATTGAAATCTCTGTCTGGGAAAAGTGCAGGAGCAGCTAAAGTCCATGTGTATATCGCCAAGCAGAGCCAAGATGATACAATTTTGACCCAAACGGCAGCCATATTACTGTTCAAGTACCGTAGATCATTTTCTGGCCTGAAAAATAATATACGTATCTGTAAAGGAATTTAGGCATCCAAAAACGTTAAAATACTTGCTCCTCATAAAGTCGCTGAGATGCTCATTAACTTTGAAAACCTGTAGCTTCGAAAGTCACAGTTTACGAACTTGTTGCGTTAAAAATGCTTAATAATACTTACTTGTACCAACTGGTCAACGTCATCATAACATATAATGAAGACAGTCCGAAAACAAAATGGAAGAATGAATAGCTGTAGGAGACTGCGCTTTTCTCGTCATCCCAAACACGATGTGTTGTATTTTCGTCACTATCTAAAAAGCAGAAGAATGATTAGAAGTAATCCTCTATTTTACGGCCCACACGGTTTCAGTTGCCCTTCATATATTTCTTTCCAGCACACTGATGCGCGACTAATAAGTAAAAACATGACCTCCACTACTGTTTTGGTCCCAACGTTTGCAAAGAGCTTGAAGCTAAAAAAAAGACAATTCCACGCGTAAAAAACTAAAATAAAAAGACGAAATTAAAAGCAAAAGAGAGGATTTGCGTAATCCGAAGAATTTACAGAAGTTTAAACTACCGGTTCAACTTAGGTAAAAGTGTATTTTCACTCAAGTCCTTTTCATCCCCTAAAATGATGACAGTAACTACCGTTAAAGATGTATGTAATAAGTGTAAGCAGGCATGCAAGCCAATGCTGCACTCTCCGTAAAATATTTCTCAAAATGAATTTCAATGCCGAGAGCAAAAAAACTGTAATACAAGATCTCTAAGTGCTAACACTACTCACAAAAGTACATGACCACCACGTGACAAAAATAAGACTTTTTGAAATAAGTTTTGCAAAACTTTCATTATAAATATATGGAGATGTGAAGGGTGAAACGTTTAAACCTTGGGCAATGTTTTCTGCAGAACCACCTTCAGTGGATTCAATAGCTGCGTGTGCAGAACCTCCGGCAATCTTGTTAAAACTTGAAGATGTGCGAAATGAAGCATAAAGAATGCAGATAAACCATATAAATAACGAAACAAGTGATTCTGCAGGTAACGGAGTCCCATACTCCTAAAAAACGAATTGATTCACTCGAAAAGAGATAATGTAACCAAGTATAAAAGCACATTTAAGAAAATAATAATTGAAACTTTTTAAGAATAAACGTGAAAAGGTAAAGAAATAAAAAACTACCTCTCCCGACGAGGTGCGATTTGTGATAATATTGATAATTGATGGATTACACTGTTTGTCTAAAAAAAGGTGGAGTTTAAAGCTGCAATACTTGTTCTATAACAAAGCAGAAGTACTTCTGAAATTAAACACCGAATTAAACTATTACCAGGATTATTGATGAGAGCAGACCACGTAACATACATTATATACATAGTGATAAACGAAGCCTGGAGAAGTCCTGAATGAGGCATCCGTTTTTGAATGGCAGGAAGAATCGATACAACTGATGCAACGAAGCATAAAATCAGGTTGAAAGAAATGAAAAACTTTGGCAAATGACAAGGTCCACCCTGTAAAACAATAGAAGGAAATCGAGTAATTAAAAATAAAACCAATCTGAAATTACCCCCCA